CCAGGTCGGCCAAAAGAGGGGGAACGCGAACCGAAAATCCGACCCTTCCAAAATGCCCCGGGAGCACTGTGAGGCCCCCAAGGGGCCCCAAGAGGCTCAAGAATGGCCCCCCAAAGGCCTCGAAACTGCCTCCACGAGGCCCGCGATAGGCCCCCCGCGACATCCCAATGAACATCCTAGAGGCCCATGGCCCACAACCCAGACGCGGTGGCGGAATGGGCCGAAAGCCATTAGACCTGGCCCGGCACAGAAACGGAAAGAGCGCTTCAGAAACAGAAACCGAAATTACGCACACCACCGTTCGTACCTGGAGCCTTGGCGTTGAGAGCTGGTTACGTCACCCCTCGCTCTTGGGAGCCTTGGGGTGCAGAGATTGTTGCGTTGCCGCCCGTTCCTGAGCCTTGGCTGGGCCTTGGTGTCAGGAACTTGTTACGTCACCGCTCTCTGCTGTAAACCTTGGTCTTATCAGCTTGTTTACGTCACCGTTCGCTCTTGGGAGCCTTGGTGTGAAGAGCTTTTGTCATTACCGATCGCTCTTGGCGTCTCTGGGCCGTCGTGGGAGTCCTATTGGGGCCCTTTTCGAGCCCTTCTGGTGGCCTCTTGGGGGCCTCTTGGGGGCCTCTGAGGCTTCTTGGGGGTCTGTGGGGGCCTCCTGGGAGCGTCTTTGGGCGAAAGGCTAGACTTTCGGTTCGTGGTCCCCCTCTTGGGGCCGTCTTGGGGCCCTCTTGGGCCGTCGGGGGCGCCTCGTGGGCCGTCTGGGGGCCCTCTTGGGCAGTTTTAGGTGCCTCTTGGGAGCCTCTTGGGCCGTCTCGGGGCGGTCTTGGGGGCCTCTTGGGCCGTCGTCAACGCCGTGAAAGCCGAAAAGCCGTGTATGCTAAAAGTATGCGTTTTCCTATAGAAAGTCTATGATGTTGGCCTCCTGATGGCCTCTTGGGGGCCTCTTGGGGGACCTCTTGGGGCTTCGTGGGGGGCTGTGGGGGCCTCCCAGGAGCGTCTTGGGGCGATAGGCTCGACTTTTCGGTTCGTGGTCCCCCTCTTGGGGCCGTCTTGGGCGCCTCTTGGGCCGTCTGAGGGCCCTCTTGGGCCGTTCTGGGGGCATCTTGGGAGCCTCTTGGGCCATCGTGGGGGGCGGTCTTGGGCTCTTCTGGGACGGAAAAAAAGAGAAACCCGAAAACCATTCAAAAACCCAAAGGGAGAACCCCCAAAACGGCCATTAGAGCCCAAATGTTCGCGCTACGCACCCCCCTGGAACGTCCCTCAAGGGGCTTCGCCCACACCAAAACGTCATCACTCGTACCTCGCTCTTTCCGTTACCTGGCCCGGCACAGAAACGGAAAGAGCGCTTCAGAAACAGAAACCGAAATTACTCACACCACCGTTCGTACTGGGAGCCTTGGCGTTGAGAGCTTGCTACGTCACCCCTCGCTCTCGGGAGCATTGGTGTTCAGAGATTGTTGCGATGCCGCCCGTTCCTGAGCCTTGGCTGGGCCTTGGTGTCAGGAAATTGTTACGTCACCGCTCTCTGCTGTAAGCCTTGGTCTTATCAGCTTGTTTTCGTCACCGTTCGCTCTTGGGAGCCTTGGTGTGAAGAGCTTTTGCGTTACCGATCGCTCTTTATTTGGCGTCTCTGGGCCTTATTGGAAGTCCTATTGGGGCACTTTTGGAGCCCTTTCGATGGCCTCTTGGGGGCCTATTGGGGGCCTCTTGGGGGCCTCTGGGGCTTCTTGGGGGGTTCTTGGGGCCTCCTGGGAGCTGCTTGGGGCGAAAGGCTAAGCTTTTCGGTTCGTGGTCCCCCTGTTGGGCCGTCTTGGGCTCTCTCGGGCCGTCGTGGGCGCCTCTGGGGCCGTCTTGGGGCATTCTTGGGCCGTGTTGGGGGCATCGTGGGGGCCTCTTGGGCCGTCTCGGGGCGGTCTTGGGGGCCTCTTGGACCGTCTTCAACGCCGTGAAAGCCGGAAAGCAGTGCATGGTAAAAATGTACGCTTTCCTACAGGAAATGATTGATTTTGGCCTCCTGGTGGCCTCTTGGGACGCCCCTTGGGGGCCTCTTGGGGCTTCTTGGGGGGTTCTTGGGGCCTCCTGGGAGCGTCTTGGGGCGAAAGGCTAGACTTTTCGGATCGTGGTCCCCCTCTTGGGGCCGTCTTGGAGCTCTCTTGGGCCGTTTTGGCAGCCTCTGGGGTGGGTGCCTCTTGGGAGCCTCTTGGGCCGTCTTGGGGCGGTTTGGGGGGCCTCTGGGCCGTCGTCAACGCCGTGAAAGCCGAAAAGCCGCGTATGCTAAAAACGCATCTTTTCCTAAAGGAAATCAATGATTTTGGCATCCTGGGGCCTCTTGGGGGGCCTCTTGGGGGCTGGGGCGAAAGGCTAGACTTTTCGGTTCGTGGTCCCCCTCTTGGGGCCGTCTAGGACCCCTCTTGGGCCGTCTTGGGCGCCTCTTGGGCCGTCTTGGGGCCCTCTCGGGCCGTTTTGGTGGCCTCTTGGGAACCTCTTGGGCCGTCCTGGGGCGGTTTGGGGGGCCTCTTGGGCCGTCGTCGACGCCGTGGAGGCCGAAAAGTAGCGTTTGTAAAATGCACGTTTTCCTAAGGAAAATAAATGTTTATGGCCTCTTGGGGCCCTCTTGGGACGCCCCTTGGACGCCTCTTGGGGCGTCTTGGAGGCCTCTTCGGCCGTCTTGGGCGGTCTTGGGCTCTCTTGGATCGCTCTTGGGTCGTCTTGGAGGTACCTTGGGCCGTCTTGGACCCCTCTTGGACGGTCTTGAGCGCCCAAGACGGCCCAAGAAGCGCCCAAGAGGCCTCCAAGTCGTAACACTCATCCCCCCCGCCCCTCACCCCTCCCCTGGACCCTTCCCTCTTCGCCCAAACACAACGTCATCACTCATAAGTCGCTCTTTCCGTTACCTGGCCCGGCACAGGAACGGAAAGAGCGCTTCAGAAGCAGAAACCGAAATTACTCACACCGCCGTTCGTACTGGGAGCCTTGGCGTTGAGAGCTTGCTACGTCACCCCTCGCTCTCGGGAGCCTTGGTGTTCAGAGATTGTTGCGTTGCCGCCCGTTCCTGAGCCTTGGCTGGGCCTTGGTGTCAGGAACTTGTTACGTCACCGCTCTCTGCTGTAAGCCTTGGTCTTATCAGCTTGTTTACGTCACCGTTCGCTCTTGGGAGCCTTGGTGTGAAGAGCTTTTTGCGTTACCGATCGCTCTTTATTTGGCGTCTCTGGGCCTTCTTGGGAGTCCTATTGGGACCCTTTTGGGTGCCTCTTGGGGGCCTCTTGGAGGCCTCTTGGGGCTTCTTGGGGGTTCTTGGGGCCTCCTGGGAGCCTCTTGGGGCGAAAGGCTAGACGTTTCGATTCGTGGTCCCCCTCTTGGGGCCGTCTTGGGGCCCTATTGGGCCGTCTTGGGCGCCTCTGGGGCCGTCTTGGGGCATTCTTAGGCCGTGTTGGGGGTCTCGTGGGAGCCTCTTGGGCCGTCTTGGGGCGGTCTTGGAGGCTTCTTGGACCGTCTTCAACGCCGTGAAAGCCGAAAAGCCGCGTGTGCTAAACATGCATCTTTCCATATGAAATCAATGATGTTGGCCTCCAGGTGGCCTCTTGGGACGCATCTTGGGGGCCTCTTGGGGCTTCTTGGGGGGCTCTTGGGGCGTGCAGCACCTCGGGAGGGCCCCAAGTCGGTTCAGAAAGGCCCCCAAGACGGCGTCCGACGGCGTGACAATGCCAGGAACGCCCTAAAACTGCCTAAGAAAGCCTAAGAGGCTCCCAAGAAGCTCACAAAGGCCCTCCAAGAGGCCTCCAACAGGCCCCCAGGAAGCTCCCAGGAGGCCTCAAGAATGACCCAAGAAGCTCCCAAGAGGTCACGTCGTTCGTTTCCTCATTCACATGTGCCCTCCCCCTACTCATCCTCCTCTTCCTCCCCCACGTGTTTCCCGAAGGGCTTCCGAAATAGCTTGGCCACACTGTGCCCAAACGTTTGGCCACATAGGCCCATCCGAAAGGCAGGGGGCGGCGGTGATTCGCTGTGGGCGTCTTCGATAACAAAGCAGTCGCAGCCACTCCTGAACGCTACACACGGAGTCGCTCCTCCCCTGGTGGAGCTGTGGAGCCGTCTGGAAAAGCCCCATCGGCCTCCGTGCGCCGCTCGTCGGAAGGCGCAGGGTAGACTTAAGTCGGGCCTGTCATCCTACAGGGGGTTTTCGTACGAAAAACAATACATCAAATAATACCATCAAAACAATCACAAAACAAAAAAGTCGTCCCCTGACATTTCTGCTATTCTTGAATATTCCTCCTGTAGATGGACAGGCCCGGCTTAAGGGTAGACCAGACTCGGTGTGATGGGGGTGCGCTGGAATTGGTGTGGTCAGCGCAGACGCTGGCCTCGGGCGCAGATGATGCTTCAAGCTGAAACACCGAGCGCGCCTCGGGCACCGCCGTGTGGGAACGCTGCGTTCCAACATGATCCAGAATTGATGCCACACTGCGGCAGGCCCTGGGCCCCCCGGGCTTCCTCCCCCTTCCCACCCAACGGGCCTCTTGATACTCAACCTTTGACAACACAAGCCCACAGCGGGCGTATGCTTCCGCGAACATCGCCTGCAGTACCACTTCTTACTTGCCGTCATGTGTGTGTGTGTGTGTGCCCAAATGCCGCCCCCTCAAGGGCGTCGCGTGTCCTTGGCGCGCTCAACGCGCCGTAGATTGGGGGGGGCAACACCAAACCCAAGAACTCCGTGCGGACCTCCATATACTCTGCTTATGCAAAAAAATACGCGTCTTACGAACAGTCTGCTTCAGTTTCTCATATCACTTCTATTGTTAATAATGTTCGTCGTCAACGACTTCGTCGTCTTCTTCGAAAGAGATCCGACTCAACCGAGCATTCGGCCACCTCGCTGCGCCACCACCTGCCAGCCGCTCAGCTGCCCCAGAAGACAGATAATCATGGATTGGTCCGACTGCCTCTCGTGTAGGGGATGGTGTCTTCCGCAACCAAGGGAACAGGGGGGGATATCCGTCCTGATTGTGCGGCGAGAGCATCGTGTTCACGGTGTTCACCTGGCGTCTGCTGGATCCCCCTTCCGTGAGCCCGCTCCCAATTCCACGACAAATGCCCCTGCCCCCCCCCCCCCCCCCCAAAAAAAAACTGCCTGTTTGCAGAATGGGGCCTTCCAACACGGACCCCCTGGAAAACTCTCGGACGGTCCCGCGTATTTCCGACAAGAGAGAAGGAAAGGAAGACAGGGCCCCAAAAGGCATCACACCCTCCCCTCCCCTCCACCCGCCTCCACCACCTCCCCTCGTTTCCCGTCATATTCCTTGCTGCCGCCTCTGTTTTTGCCACTGTCCACCTCTCCGTCCACGTCTGCCTTTTTCCGCCAGGGGAGTGGGCAACCGAAATGTTTCAACACCCTCGTGCGCATGAGCAAAAACGATCACGTCCTCCGATGCATCGACGGTCCTGGGAGCCGTCGCGGTCGCGGCCCCCCACAAATTAGTCATCAGCGCCCCGCCATGCGGTCATTACCCACATCCCCAAAAGGACGGAAGCACTTCATTCGAACCCATTTAACACGAATGCACAATGATGATATGTTGGATGCAAACAAATCGGGCATGTCCGAAGTTCGTCCCGTCTTACCAACTGGAAAACCTGCCTTCTGAGATGTCCTACGGCCCCGACGACCAAGGTGAACCAGACAAGAACTTGATGGTATCCTCGAGCAGCCCTACAAGCGGTGCGATGGGTGTAACAGAAAGGTGTGACGGTGATGCCGTTGTTACGGGTAGCGGGGATCGGGGATCTTCTGACCCGGGTCAATCCAGACCCGGGTCAGCAGGAAACCAAAAACTGCAATGCAGGAAAAAAGAACTGCAACGCAGGTCTTCGCAAACCCGGGTCAGCCAATATGTGCGGCCGCCTCGCGGCCACGAGCGGCTCGCTAACCCGGGTCAGCCATAGAGGGTCTTCGCAGGATCCTGCAGGATCCGGTGCCGAGGCTGACCCCCGTTTGCATTGACCCCCGTCTCAAGGCTCCCGAGGGGACGGGGACTTTGTCGCACCGGGGCCCGAGCCACACCCACGACCTTGATGCCCCAGGGCGGCGGGTGGGTTGTTCCAAATCGGCCGAGCGCCTGAGCCCAAATAGCCACAGGCATCGAGCTGAACGAGAGGATACAGCACATGTTGCCAGGGGCTTTTGGAACCCAAAAAACTGGCGCGCGCCTCCCCCCGTCAGCGCTGTCTCAAGTTCGCTGCCACTGTCCAACGGAACAATAGCCTTTGTTCGTCAACAGTGTCCTGCAATCAGCGTGTATCCACCACTGTGGCCACCAGCTCCGTCATGACCTATTACGTTCCAGGCTCATCCTGATCGAGCACATCCCCAGAATCTCCCTGAGACGCTGGGGTCCACGAGTGAACTGGCAGTATGGGGAAAGCGGCTCGACACGGCGAATTATGCAACGACTAATGTCACCAGCTGCCTCGCACTTGGCACCATGGATCACATCCCTACCGAAATAGATTAGCTTCTGCATAATGGCATTGGTCAAGCTTTCCTTCCTGAAATGGAATCCTCGCATCCCGCCACTCCCGTGTCTGCGACAATGAAACCCGGGAATTTTTCCAGGGGGCGCAGTGCGCGATCGGCATACGGGCTGCGACGGCCAAGAGGAGGGACAAGACACACCGGATACGCACTGCTGGCTTTGCTGGCCCCCGAGAGCCAGCTGGATTTAGGTCGGGCGCGTCCACTATTTCTGACTATTCTCCTGTAGAGGGACAGGCCTGGATGCGACCATGCATCGAGGATGGGGCCGAGCCGTCTGGACAAGGGAAGTCGGGACAAGGGGGGTCCGCCGCGGCCCGAGACGGGTCCAGGATGGCCCCCGACAGCCAAGACGACCTCCGACGTGGCTCAAGGCAGCCCTGGATCGGGTCGGGCGAAGGGGGGGAATAGCAAAGGGGGGGGGGAGAATCAGCTCACGTAGCTGATTTTCCCGGCGCCTCCCGGCGCCGGAGGCGGCTATGCATCGAGGAATGGGCCCCTCGGCGAGGCCGAAACCAGCTGCATGCAGCAAATTTCGTAACCCCCCCTTTCCCAATCCGCCCCTTTCGTCCGGCCCGAGTGGATGGCTCAAGAATGGCCTCCAGCAGGCCAAGAGGCCTTGAGGCGGCCCCAAGTAGAGGGCGGAAACGCCACCCACCCACACGGGGACCACGCCTACCAAGGAGGCCTTCTCGTGAACGCACCGCGTGAAAGAATCGAGAAGGGCAGGGCTGTGTTCGGCAAGCGCGCAGGGCCGCACAATGAAGCAAATCGTCGGGGCCGGGGTGGCTTTTCCTTCCTCGACCAGGTGGCCACGGAGCCACCCAAGCACAACCGAGACACCAGAACCATTCAGCGGCCAAGCATGCCGGGGAGCGGCGGGAACGCAGCCCGGTCGCCGCCCACTGCGTCGGCGTCGCGCCGTCTGGCGTGAAAGGCTCCGAGAGGTACGTCCTCCGCTCGAACATCAGCTGGAGCGGTCGCTCCTTCCTGCGGGGCGAGCGGGCCACCCCTCGGCGCAGAAACTGTCGTGACTGCATGGGCTGCACGTCTGCGGCCTCCGGAGGCCGCCTCCTGGCCCGGTCTGGCCGTGAAGAAGCTGCCGCGGACGAGAAGCCGCTGGCTCTGTCCTCCTCCCTCCCTCCTCCTCCTGCTCCTCCTCCTCCTCCTCCTCCTGCTCCTCCTGCTCCTGCTCCTGCTCCTTCTCCTGCTCCTGTACCTCCTCCTCCTCCTCCTCCTCCTCCTCCTCCTCCTCCTCCTCCTCCTCCTGCTCTTCCTCCTCCTCCTCCTCCTCCTCCTCTTCCTCCTCCTCCTCCTCCTTCTCCTCCTCCTCCTCCTCCTCCTCCTCCTCCTCCTCCTCTTCCTCCTCCTCCTGGGGAGGGAGGGGCGGCGAGGTCCCTGGGGGCCGCCGGGGGAGAGGGGAGGGCCGAGCGGGCGGCTGGCCAGGAGGAGGGAGGAGAAAAGGGAGGGGGCAGGGAGGGGTCGGCAGGGGAAGGGGGAGGGGAGAGGAGGGGAGGGGAGAGGCGGGGGAAGGAGGAGAGGGAGGCAGAAAAGGAGGGCCCCAAGAGAGCCCCAAGTCGGCCCAGAAAAGCCCCCAAGACAGCTCCCGACGGCGTCAGACGAGCCAGGAACCCACCAAAATGGCCGAAGTTGGCTCGAAGCTGGCCCAAGACGGCCCAAGAGGCCTCCAAGAGGGCCTCCAGGAAGGCCAGAAGAGGCCCAAAACATTGATTTTCCTACGGTGTTTGACGGATTTTGACATTTGCTTCTTTTCGGCCTTCCGACGGCCCGAGACGGCCCAAGAGCCCCCGAAGATCGCCGAAAGATCGCCCAAGAGGCCTCCAAGATGGCCCCAGAACAGCCCAAGAAGGCCCCAAGACGGCCCCAAGAGGCCTCCAAGACGGCACAGGAGGCCTTTAAGACGCCCAAGACGGGCCTCCAAGACGGCCCTGGAGCATTCCAAGAGGGCCCCAAGTCGGCCCATAGAGGCCCCCCAAACGGCTTCCGACGGCGTCAGACGGACCAGGAGCCCACCAAGACGGCCGAGCATGGCACTAAGATGGCCCAAGACGGCCCAAGAGGCCTCCAAGAGGGCCTCCAGGAAGGCCCGAAAAGGCCAAAATCATTGATTTCCCATGGGTTTTTGAAGGATTGTGGCATTTGCTTTTTTTCTGCCTTCCGACGGCCCGAGACGGCCCAAGTGCCCCCAAAGATCGCCCAAGAGGCCCAAGGCACGGCCCCAAGAGGCCCCAAAGACGGCCAAGAGGCCTCCAAGACGCTCAAGATGGCCTCCAAGACGCCCAAGAGCCCTCCAAGACGTCCTCCAAGAAGGCCCGAAAGGGTCAAAATGGCCTCCAGACGGCCAAGATGACCTTCAAGATGCCCACGTGTTCCCCGAAGGCTTTCCAAACCGATTCGGGGAACACATGGTCCGATAGCTTGGCAGGTCTGGCCTCAACGTTCGGCCACCTAGGCGCTTCCAGAAAGGTAGGGGGCGGCGGTGATTCGCCGTAGGCGTCTTCGATCCGCCGCCCCCTGTCGATTCATCGCAGGGGTGCCTGGCGTGCCAGACGAGATGGGTTTTGGCTTTAGCTATTTTTCCAAAAGAGGTCCCCCTGGGGCTTCGGCCCGTCCCGCCGGGGTCCCAGGAGATTGCCGAAAACCCGGTTGCAAAGGTTGTTCCTGCTCCAGACGGCTCAAAGACTGCCAAAGATGGTCCCCAAGATGCATCCAAGACGGCCAGGATTGGTTCCAAGACGGCTAAGATGGCTCCAAGATGCCTCCAAGACGAGCAAAGATGACTCAGCACGGCCTAAGATAGCCTCAACATGGCCCCAGCCAAGAGGCCTCCAATACGGCCCAAGAGGCCTCCAGGAGGTCCTCCAGGAAGGCCCGAAGAGGCCAAAATCATTGATTGTCCTTAGGTTTTTGAAGGATTTCGGCATTTGCGCCTTTTCGGCTTTCCGACGACCCAAGACGGCCCAAGAGGCCCCCAAGATCGCCCCAAGATCGTTCCAGAGGCCTCCAAGACGTCCAAGATGGCTTCCCAGACGGCGCAAGATGGCCTCCAAGACGCCTCCAAGACGCCCAAGATGGCCTCCAAGACGGCCAAGATAGCCTCCAAGACGGCCAAGATGGCCCAAGATGGCCTCCAAGATGGTCCAAGATGGCCTCCAAGTCCGCCCAAGAGAGGAGGAGATGCCTCCAAGTCCACCCAAGAAACCTCCAGGACGGCCCAAGACGGCCCTAGAGGTGCCCAAGAGGCCTCCAAGACGGCCCAGGAGGCCTCCAGGAGGTCCTCCAGGAGGGCCCGAAGAGGCCAAAATTATTGATTGTCCTTAGGTTGTTGAAGGATTTTCGTATTTGTGCCTATTCGGCTTTCCGGCGACCCAAGACGTCCCAAGAGGCCCCCAAGATCGCCCCACAGCGCCCAAGAGGCCTCCAAGATGGCCTCAGGACTGCCCAAGAGGCCCCCAAGACGGCCCCAAGAGGGCACAAAGACGACCCAAGAGGCCTCCAAGACGCCCAAGATGGCCTCCAAGACGGCCCAGAGAGGCCCCCCAAACGGCTTCCGACGGCGGCAGACGGACCAGAAGCCCATCAAGACGGCCGAACATGGCCCTAAGCTGGCCCAAGAGGCCTCCAAGAGGGCCTCCAGGAAGGCCAAAAACAGTGTTGTTCCTTAGGTGTGTGAAGGTGTTCGGCATGTTGTCCTTTTCGGCCATCCGAAAGTCCAATACGACCCAAGAGCCCCCAAAGACCGCCCAAAGATCGCCCAAGAGGCCTCCAAAATGGCCCCAGAACGGCCCAGGAGGCTTTGAAGACGCCCAAGATAACATCCAAGACGGCCCTGGAGCATTCCAAGAGGACCCCAAGTCGGCCCTGAGGGGCCCCCCAAACGGCTTCCGACGGCGTCGGACGAGCCAGTAGCCGACCAAAACGACCGAAGATGGCCCTAAGATGGCCCAAGACGGCCCAAGAGACTTCTAAGGGGGCCTCCAGGAAGGGCCGAAAAGGTCAAAATCATTGTTTTCCCATGAGTTGCTGAAGGATTGTGGCATTTGCCTGTTTTCTGCCTTCCGACGGCCCGAGACGGCCCAAGTGCACCCAAAGATCGCCCAAGAGGCCCACGACGGCACCCAGAGGCCCCCAAGAGGGCCCAAGACCAAGACGCTCAAGATGGCCTCCAAGACGGCCCAAGAGCCCTCCAAGACGTCCTCCAAGAAGGCCCGAAAGGGTGAAAATGGCCTCCAGGCGGCCAAGAAGACTTGAAAGGTGCCCACGTGTTCCCCGAAGGCTCTCCAAACCGATTCGGGGAACACATGGTCTGATAGTCTGGAAGGTCTGGCTTCAACGTTCGGCCACCTAGGCGCTTCCAAAAAGGCAGGGGGCGGCGGTGATTCGCCGTAGGCGTCTTCGATCCGCCGCCCCCTGTTGATTCATCACAAGGGTGCCTGGCGTGCTGAATCCTTTCGCTTTTGGTGTTGGTCCGTTTCCCTAAAGAACTCTCCCTGGGGCTTCGGCCCGTCCCGCCGGCCACCCGAAAGGGACCTCAACGACCACAAAAAATCCTCCAAGACGGCTCCAGATGGCCTCTAAGATGGTCACGGTGGCCCGAAATGGCCCAAGATGGCGTCCAAGTCGCCAAAGATGGTCCAAGATGGCTTCCAAGACGGCCCGAGAGAGTCCAAGATGCCTTCAAGTTCGTCCAAGAAGCCTCCAAGACGGCCCAAGATGGCTCCAAGATGGCCTACGACTGGCCAAGAGGCCCCCAAGAGGCCTCCAAGACGTCCTCCAGGAAGGCCCGAAATGGCAAAAATCATTGACTATGTTCTTCGTATTAGCTCTCCGATGGCCCAAGACGGCCCAAGAGGCACCCACGTCCCAAGAGTGCCCACGAGGCCTACAGGATGGCGCCACGACAGCCCAAGAGGCCCCTAAGAGGGCCCCAAGAAGAGCCCAAGACGACCCAAGATGGCCTCCAAGACGCCCAAGATGGCCTCCAAGACGGCCAAGATGGCCTCCAAGATGCCTCCAAGACGGCCAAGAAGGCCTCCAAGACAACGACGATAGCCCAAAGATGCACCCAAGACGGCCCCAGATGGCCTCACGATGGCCTTAGACTGCCCCAAAGGCCCGCATGAGGCCTCCAAGACGGCCCAAGAGCCTTCCAAGACGTCCTCCAGGAAGGCCCGAAAGGGTCAAAATGGCCTCCAGACGACCAAGATGACCTTCGAGATGCCTCCAAGACGGCCAAGATGGCCTCCAAGACGGTGAAGATGGCCCCAAGATGCACCGAAGACTGCCCAACATGGCCTCAGGATGGCCTAAGACGGCCCACACGGCCCGCAAGAGGCCTCCAAGACGGCCCAAGGCGCCTCCGAAACGGCCAATATGGCCCAAGATGTGCTCCAAGATGCGTGGAAGATGGCCAAGATGGCACCAAGAGAGCCCAATATCACTCCAATTTGGCCTCCATAACGGTCCAAACAAAAATACCTCCAAGACCGCCAAGATGGCCCATTTGAGCCCCAGAGTGTCTCAAGAGGCTCCCAAGAGGACTATTCCTCCATTCCCCTTTTTTCCTCACTCCCCTCATCTTCCCCAACCTCCTCCACGTGTTCCCCGAAAGCTTTCCAAACCGATTCGGGGAACACTCGTTCCGAAAGGTTGGCAAGGATCTGACCCAACCTTCAGCCAGCAGGCCCCAAGACGCCTACAAAAGCTCACAAGAGCCCCGAAGTGGCCCCGAACACGCCCATTCTTCACTTTCTCCTCTTCCCCGTCCTCCCCCACGTGTTCCCCGAAGGCTTTCCAAACCGATTCGGGGAACACATGATCCGATAGCTTGGCAAGGCTCTGGCCTCAACATTCGGCCACACAGGACATAGGCGCTTCCGAGAGAGCAGGGGGCGGCGGTGACTCGCCGTAGGCGTCTTCGATAACGCCAACGTCTCAATATGCACTGACGATTCCTATCCACCCCCGCATGATGCTCCCAGATGCGCCAAGGCAGCGCCGACGCACCAACACGACTCTGATGTACACCAGTATGATAGAGAGGGGGCCGGCGACAGGGGAGAAAGCCCTTACGGATAGTAACGTACATGACTACAACGAGATGTGGAAGCACTTGAGCTGGCAAGCAAGTCGCAACCATCATTTACAAAGAATGCAGACGCTCAACCTGGCGTACAGCGGGACCACAGGAAGCATGCTCGAAAGAAGGAACGGGTCGGATAGCTGGACGTCTTGTTCTGTTACAACACACCGCGAATCCCATAGCTGAGATCACTCGATGTGACTAATAACAAACGAAAGGGAGGAAGACAACCGTACAGATGTTCAAATCTCCCCCCCCCACGCCGCCACCCCCATTCCAGAGAGACTCCAAGACGGCCCTGGAAAGCCTCTCAATGGCCCACGAAGGCCGAAGATGGGCGTAAGAACGCACCGACACGGCCCCAGATGGCCAAGACAGAACAAATATCAAATATGGCCACAAATGGCGCCAAGAAAGAATACAAGGCCAACAACACGGCTCAAGGGGGCCACAAAATGACCCCACAAATGTACCCAATAAGCCGAAAGCATGGAAACCAAAAATTAAGTTTGAAGAGAAATATTGGCCTTCGCAACCCCAAAGCGACCCAAATTGTCCCCATGATCGCGCCAAAACGGCACCGGAGAAGTCCAACAAGGTTCAAAACGACTCCAAAAGAGCAGCAGGACTGCCCCGCGAATGCGGAAGAAGAGGAGAAGAAGAGGGGGGAAGAAGCACACGGAGCACGAGGAGAAGGAGAAGAAGAAGAAGAAACACCACCCCACCTGCCACCCCCCTCACTAACTCACTTCCCAACCCTCCCCTCGTCTCTTCAATCTTGCTCCACGCCCTCCTTCCTGATCCTTCTTCCTGCTCCTCCAGGCTCAGAAGTCTTGTGGCAGACGTATGGGAAGCCGTCCCTGGTGAGAGCTGCATTTGCGAAGGCAAATGGGCTCCCGCAGGATACGGTATCAGTGGCGATTCCTGCGCCTTCTTCAACAATGGCCCCCGAAGGGGTAGCAAGGCCAAGTGTTCTGACAGGCATTCGTTCTCTCCTTTGCTTCCCCTTCCAGGCCCGCACCCAGCTGCTATGGTCCTTCCTGCTCCCGACTTGCTTTGGGGGCCTCACTCATCACGGGCGATGCGTGGACCAAGACTGTAGAGCGAAGCGGAGCGATCCTTCAAGGTCGTGTGATGGATATTTAGACTTGTTGCCATATGATATGTGTAAGCACGCATCTGTGATTAACAAAGAACGGATATCATAGCATGCTTTCATACATGCATAAATACATACATGCAGACATGCATACATGCATGCATGCCTGTATGCATGCATACATACATGCATACGAACAAACAACATGTGTATATATACATATATATATGTATATATATAAATGCATCCATATATCAAGCTTGCGGGTTGCGGACAGGGTGCGTTGCGCCGAAGCCGCACAACCCATTCAGTGTTCGTTGAGATGGACAGGTAAGGAACAGGGAGAAATACAAGAAAAGACGAAGGAGAAGAAGGCGAAAGAGAAGAGGACGGAACTGCACAACGAGAAAAAGGAAAAGAAGAAAGTGGCTGGAGAAAGAGAGAGAGGTGAGACGGAAGAGCAAGGCATGGGGAACACGGGAGTGGTGAGCACGACAAGAAAGAAGCACAGGAGATTATATAAAGACTATTCCGAATGCCCCCTATCGCACTGTCCAGCCTGATGGCCGAACCCCAAGGACCCTCATCATTTTCCCCTATGGCCAGTCCTGATGGTCATCAATTCTTCGCTGGTCATGTCTTTCAACATCCAGCCATTCATGGATATCAGCAAGTCACCGAGCTCCAAACCTGAATGGGTGGACGGGCAACCCAATCAGAGAGACATACCGGCCTGGTCGAAACCTGCCCACACAGTAGAACGACGTTCCCACATAGCAGAGTGCTGCAGAAGTGGGAAGACTCACGCCAGCACCGAGCACTGCTCCTCCCTTCTATGAGGATGTGGAGGATGGTTGAAGCGGATGCGACGAGAGGGGGTGATGGTCAGCTGCAGTATCAGGCTAATGATGATGTTGACGACAATGGTGCAAAGGGATGATGGGTGATGGCGGTATCGATGATGATGACAACGAGAATGATGACGTTGTCGGTGCGGATGATGATCGCGAGGTGAAGAGACGCGCAACGCCGCTGGTCGCGCCGCCAACTTGACTGGAGCCCCTCTCTCGACGACCTTGGCCAACTCCCCAACCCCGCCGGGAAGAGGCGGAGCTCGAACGGGCCACCGCAAGACGCGCTCGAACCTCTGGCTACAGCGCCAACGTACTCCGAACACAAACGAACGGCTCATCCCCAGCACCCAACCGCAGGCCTCTCACAAGCAAGCATCGACGGACAGGGAGTTTCCGAACGACAGCGGCCAAGGGGGGGCACCCGAAAATGTGAAACAAACAACCCAAACCGACGGGCGTGGCTGTGGTTGTCCCCAGGTCGCATGTGACAAAAGCCCATCCAGCGGCAAGCCACTGAAGACAAATTTGTGCTGCCCTCAACGCTGGGGCCGGAAACAGCATCCAACACGCCATATGGGCACCCCATCTGGGCAAAATGAGGATGAGGAGGCGAAGACAGAAACTGGGCCTGAGGAGGAGGAAGAGGAAGAGGAGATGGAAGAGAAGAGCGGGGGGAAGGAACGAAACGCGCGAGCGTTACAACATATTATGGTCATGGTTATGGTACGATTTCCGATTACGAACAAAAATGCCGCAACCGGGCCCCATCGAGCATAAATGGTTATAGGTGTTGCAAGCCTGCAACCCCCAGATTCATTACTGCATTTGCTAACAACGATCGTGATCGAACGCAAGAACATCCAGCTGCCGCATGGCGGTCGGTGTGCTAAGCCTGGAAATGTTGGGCCCAGCGCCAGATATCCGAAAACGGGAAAGAAAAGTCCCAACCCTGGAAAGGGAAGAGCCCAACCCTGGAAAGGGTTCCCGTAGCCCAACCCTGCGAAGGAAGCCCCTGCCCGAGCATTGGAAAGCACGGCTGATGGAGGAGGAGGAAGAGGAGAAGGAAGAAAAGGACGAGGGGGAGAAATACAGGAAAAAGGCCCGTGCCCGGCGCGGCGGATGACGCTGCCGCCCGGCGCGCCGCGCCAGCGCCGAGCGGCGGGTGCCCCGAGCATTGGAAAGCACGGCAGGAGCAGAAGGAGGAGAAGGAGGAGAGGGAGGAGAAGGAGCAGGAGGAAGAGGAGACCCGTTGCCTGGCGTGGCAAATGACGCCAAGCACACAAATGTCTGCCGAATGTTCGATTGGCCCCGAACAAACCCAAAATCACCGAATGAAAACGGACACCGTGTGCACGCCATCTCTTGGCAGACATCGCCCGACCTGGAACTGTGATGTCTGTCGCTTGCTGGTTTGATTCCGAACAGACCAAAAATCACCAAATTAGGTCGGGCCACCTGTGCACGCCATCTGTTCGCAGACAACGACCGGCATAGAACGGTGATTGAAAACAGTTGACGGGTAGCTTCCGAGCAACCCCAAAATCACCAACTGAGGTTGAACCACCTGTGCGCCAAAACCAAAAAAGAACCAAAACAACGAAACTAACGGAGAGAGAGAGAGAGAGAGAATGGGAGGAGAAACAAAAGGGTGAGGGCGAGAGAGTGCCAGAGAAGAGATAATGAAACACTGATCTATATATATATACAAAATATATAGAGAGAGAGAGAGAATGAGAAAGGGAGAAAGGGAGAAACACACAGAGAAACCGATGAAAAGGGAAAGCGTGGGATAGAGAGACAGGTAGGGAGGATCAAATGATAGCGGCAGGGAATAAGAAAGAAATAGACCAAACCATACTGATGAATGGAAGTCAAACATTAAGTTGCGTGTTTATGTATAGGGAGACAGGGGTCGAGAAACAGACAGCGAGAGAACACTACCACGATACGCACACACACACACTTAAAAACAAAGTTGGCGGCACAGAGGAGCCGCAGGCGCGTCGGGCAGGTGGAGGTGCCAATTGCGAACGAACTTTGTCGAAAGCGCCATGATGAAAGAGCCAATACATGCAGATTGGTGGTGAAGGACGAGAGGCGCTGCGAAGCCAGGGTGCAGCGGACAAAAAACCCGAGGAGCCTAAGCTCGACGCGGGTAGTTTGAAGCACGAGCAGCAGTCTGGTGCGAATTGGAGCCCCAGAGAGACAGCAACGAATGATCAACCAGAAGGCGGCCAGACCAGCCGACCTGATGGCGGCGCATATACGCAGAGAAACTGCGCCACCGCCACCGACCCAGACAGAGAGGCAGGCAGGCAAAAGGGAGACAAACAGACTAGACAGTCAGATAGGCAAAGCGACAACAGAGGAGAGGGGGGGCAGAGAGAGTGGGAAAGAAAAGAGATACTCAAATTCAAGAAAAAAAAAGAGAAGGAACAGGAAAAACAAAAAGAGAGACCGATTTTGATGAGTTCCCCACGCGTCCCCACTGCCACACAAAGCCGACGAAATCACCAAACTAGGGCGGAGCGGTCAGGAAACCTGGCCCGCGGGCCGCGTAGAAAACACACACGCACACATACGCAGACGCACCCGACACAGACAGTCAGGCAGGCAAACGGAGACAGGCAACGTAGACTGACAAACAGGCAAAGCGAAAACGGAGACAGGGGGGAAGAGAACGAACGAACGAACGAACCACCACTGCGGACAGCTGTCCGGGCCTGCTCGAGACCTGGTGGAGGAGGCCGTAGCCTCTTCAAACCTGTACGTATGGACTACAGGGGGGAAGAGAAAGAGAGAGAAAGAGAGGTATTGAAAAAGGGAAGGGAAAAAGAAGAACAAAGGGAGAGACCTTAGTTTGGTGAGTTCCCCACACGCCCCTCCCGCCACACAAAGCTGATGAGATCACCAAACTCGGGCGGAACGGTCGGGAAACCTAGCCCGCGGGGCACTGGCGTCCGCGTAGAAAACGATTATGAAACGTACACGCACACAGAGAAGCACACACACACACATATGCTGACGCACCCGACACAGAGAGAGGCAGGCAGGCAAAAAAGAGATAGGCTGACTTGACTGACAGTCGCCCTGAATAAGGTTGTAAACAAGGAGAGGTGCAAGTCGCCGTGTTCCTGTATCCACACACGCACACCCACACCCCTAGTCCTCACCACCCTCCTGTAGGAGAGCATAAACCCAACGCCACCTGGCCCCCCGATGGGGGGGCAGGTGGGGGGGGTATATTCTTTGTGCCGCATATGCGAAAGGTCCTCACGATCAGGCATCGAGACTCTCCGACCCGGCCCAGGAAAGGGCTTCGAGAGGGGGAGGGCTCCAAGAGGGACTTCGAGAGAGGGAGAGGGACCATGTGGTTTGTGAGGTGCCCTTTCCTTCGCCAATTTTTGGGACGCCCGATATGGGTACGGAAAGAATGGGTACAATGCCCAACAACAAATGTTGTCACAAACCAACAGCGGCCGCTGTTGGGCAGGCGGCCCTCTGTCTCGAATGAACACAGGCCGCGCCGGCGTGGACAGCGAATCCTGTTCAAAATGAACAGGAACTGCTGTTGGGCATTGTACCCATTCTTTCCGTACCCATTTCGGGCGTCCAGAAATTTTGGACGCCCGATTTTGGACGCCCGCGAAAAAGGCTTTCGTCAGTCTCCCTCCTCTGGCACAGGCCCCAGGGAGCCGTTCCTGTCGGCCCAGCTCTGCGGCTCCACCGCCTCGACAGAGACCTCGTCCGGCGGCATGCCGGACGGCTTGAAGCCCAGGCCTCCTGGCGGGGCACGTCGAAAAGAAGACTCAGAAGCGGAGTGGCAACTCCTGACCTGGCGACGCGCAAAGAGACTGCGTGAGGGGGGCGGCCGTCTGAGAAGGCGAGAGGGGGCTCCTTAGAAGACAGGCGGCGCCTTAGAAGCCCTGGAGTCCTGCCTAGAAGCTCTCGGGCCCTGCTAAGAAGGTCCCTGCTTTCTAAGTGGCCCCCCGCCTTCTTGGAAGGCCGCCACCCCTCGCGCCAGCCCTTAAGAGGCAACTACTGGGAGGTGTTCGTCGGAAAGATTAAGGAAGATGAAGCCCCATTTGGGAGCTGTTACGCCGGAGTGGGCCTCGGATTAAGCGGGATTAAGCCGGATTTAGCTGGATTAAGCGGGATTAAGCTGGATTGAGTCGGATTTCGGACCAGGGCGAAAACAGAATTTGACCTCCCAGGAGTTGTATCCGAACAGCCCCTCGTGCGCGCCACCAGCTGACACCGGGGAGGCTGGCGCTCTTCCCGAGCTTCGGTCTCCGGCTTCTCGCCGCGGACCCCGAGACCCTCACGGATCGGCGGCGTCCTCTGTCGAGGTCGATGAAGGGGAACTGGGACACACAAATAAATAGACATAAATAACCAAATTCCCCAGATTGACACATATATATTCTAGGTTTTTGTCTTCCCCCCCACTTCCCATACTTTCCCATGTTTTCTGGGGAATCGACGATTCATTGTGTCTGTGTGTTTGTTCCCCTCCTGAGTCGAGAGCTGCGGAGCCACGGCGTCGGGGGCATGGCATCACCGTGCAACAAGAAGGCCGCACCCGCTGCGAACGAAGGGGCTGGCCGGCGGGCTCCGCCTGTACCCCAGTAGTTGATGGTCTTGCGAACTCCCGCCTCCTGGCCCTCGAGCGGGCAGGGAAGAAGGACGACCAGGTCCACGGGTGCGGTGATTGAGAATGTCGTAATTCGGGCGTGCGTGTGCTACACGACATCCCCATTCGGCCCTGCCTACCATCCCCGCTTGTAACTGAATAGCTTCGTGCACACGTTCTCGCTGTAAACATACGACTGGCTTCAAATTGGTTTGCGCATGCTGCCGGTAAAACTAGATCATTACCTGTTATGTGTCATGGCCTCACGGTGACAATCATATAGTCCACAAGATACGTCATCCCACTACTGGAAAATAATTGCCCATGCGCCGTAGGAAATCGCTAAAATGAGAAAGACATTTGCTGTGGAAAGACCCCATCACTTGAAACATGTGATTCCTGGCATCACACGTCTTCGCTTTTCATGTGTACGCGTTGTCCTGCGAATTGTCTAGAAAACGTGGCATCTATCATATGGCAATGCAGTGTGGAAGGCTGTACATACCACAGATGAGCCTTGTTGTCGCTCAGACGGAAACTGATCGGGTGCGTTCAACGATCGTGGTACGCATTTGCTCACACACTCGATTTCACATCCTGAGCATATCCCGTGTGGGGACACGTCGTATTATAGGTTGGACTCGACCATGTGCTGGTCACTCTGACTTATCGCGGGTTCGTGTCGTATCGACCCCGGCATCGGTTCCTGACACCGCGAAGATCGTTCAATCTTGAACGATCGACATTTTATAAGACGTCCAATCGTTCAACCTTGACCGACTCTGGATCGCCAACGGCGTTCAACATTGAACACCCACGGCGGGGTCGTCGCCGGTCGACACGACACTAACCTACCGTAGCATCGTTGCCTAGCAATGCAACACATGATCGCGAAGAAAGTCGCAAGACGTACTGTAGGTATGCGTTCATGCATGCAGGTATCTGCTGCGCGGTCCGCAGCCCCCGAGACTCAAATGTAGAAGTTTGTTGTCCTAGAGGCAGGCAAAAAACGACTGCGCAGTCGCGGCTTGGTATTCGGTTTGTGCCTTCGCGCCTGTGCCCTCCAGGGCGATCAGCTTCAAGTGCCTGACGTCAGGCGTCGAGAACTGCATCCACTGCGCACGGTTGGCCTCCGCTCTCCATCGTGAAATCACAAAACCTACACCCGCGTCTCCGTTCATCGCTGCCGTCACTCCCCCCTAGCTGTTCCTCCGTCGATACTTTGCTCCCTGCCTCCTCTCGCTCGCTCCATCGATCGCTAGTTCCCTCCCTCTCCCTCCCTTCCTGATGGTGCTCCCTCGAACGCTCGTTCGACCATTCCCACCCTGCGTCCAACCCCCTTTGCCCCTGCAACCCTTCGACCAAAGCAAAATAGTGAAGAGGAGATTGGAAGGCAGCAACAATGAAGGGTCAGCAGAAGGTCAGCAGAAGGCAGCAACAACGACGGTCCCCTCCAATTCCTTACTCGTTCTCCCTCAACTCGGGGGGGGGGAGGAACTGGCATCACTCGATATCCCAACGTTGCGCCAGCGCAGGCGGAGGCAGCAAGCGTCACGAGGGTAAAGGAGCATGTAAGCGGGTCGCGTGCTGGTATAAAGCAAATGGACATGGTGATAATTGAACAGCTGCTCACTGGGCCGCTCAAAGGAGGGGGAGGGCAAGGGGCGGGACGGGAAGCAAAAAAGCAAGTGAAGGGGAGAGAGGAGACGGGAAGGGAGGGCAGGAGAGAGGGAAGGAGGAGAGGGAAAGGGGGAGGGAACAGGACGAGAGATGGAGGGCTGAATCGGGGGACGTCAGCTGACGTTCCCCGAACGAGGTGGGAGAATACATGTGGTGTGCCCTACGGTGCCCACTGCACGGTAGTAGCATATGATGGTCGGCAACAGGCGAGTTGACCTTGATTTCAAGGGACGCGCGTCCAGCCAGTCGTTCGTTAGAACGATTGCATCAACATATGTGTATATAGACTGGTGCTGACGCCACTCCCGCTCAGCCACACATGGTTCGCCTCCGCCTCGTCTACATCCTGCGTTCTGACTCCTCCTCCTCATCATCATCCTCATCTTCAATCCCCTTCCGCCTCCACACTTCCCTTAGGTCGGGCCTGCCCCCCTACAGGAAGATGGTGAACGAAAAATAAAAGAAAAGTCAAACGATACCCTGAACTATTCAAAAAGTGGTCAAAAAATCGACCCCAGGCTATTGTTTTACGATGTTTGAATAGTCCCCCTGTAGAGGGACAGGCCCGACTTAACACTTCCCTCTGCGTGCTCCCAACTCCATCGGCCCTCCGCCCTCCTCTCTTTTCCCTTCTCCCGTATCGTCCATTCCTGCTCCCTCCGTCCTCCTTCCGTCATCCAGCTTCCGCCGCGGCTGTCGCTGCTGCTCTGCCGCTTCTGCGTCCCCCTCTTCCTGCTCCTCCTACACACCGTCATCTTGCTCCCCGTCCTCCTTCTCCTCCTCCTCCTCTTCCTCCTATTCACCGTTATCCTCCTTCCCCTCCTCCTCCTCCTCATCCTCCTCCTCCTCGTCCTCCTTCTCATCCTCATCATCCTCACTCTCCTCGACAGTCCTTGTCCTCCCCGAATCCATCCTACTCCTCATCTCCTCCTCCTCCTCCTTCTCCGCAGTGTGTTCCACATATAAGTAGTCTCCCTGCTTCCCCTAAATCCTGCCCCCACGAATTCCTCCATACTTTTCCTGATACACATCTCCTCCCCGTCGCACCCCCCAGACTTGTCGGCAGGGCGGGCTGGGCGTTTCGCCCGAGACTCCCTCGCTTTTGGCGAACTGAAGCCCGGCACTTTCACGGATGGAAGGTGGGTTGTGTTCAGCATGTGGCTCTCGCCTTAGTGACGCGACTACTCGCGATAACAGATTGCACCGGCTTCGAAGATGGAGGCCAGGTCGCTTTCAAACGAGGCTCTCGCCTTAGCGCCTCGCACTTTCGTCAGAGAGGTTGCATCAGCTTCGAAGATTGGAAAGCAGTAGTTTTCAAAATGTGTCTACCGCCTCAGCTTTGCGCACATTCGTCATACCAGTGTGCGACGGTTGCAAGGATGGGCGGCTCCGCGGCAAAATGTGATTCCTGCCATACAGCCGCACAAGTTAGTCCCGGGAGCTGTGATCAGGCACGACTTACGTAAGCCTGTCAGGATGCAACTGTTACGTGTATTCAAGATGTGGAAGTCCCAGAGGTGCTGTTCGGGCACGGTTGATCGGGATTGGCAGGGCAACAATCACGGTGATGCGCGGTGTTGAAGTCTCAAGACTGGTGCTTAAGCACGGTTGAGAATTCACAAACGGTTTTCTTCTCAATGGCCACTTGCCGCAATGAAACAAAAGTAATGCAGAAACCTATGAAACGGGAACTTGGAGGGAGGGTTGATTGCAAGATCGTTGATGCGTCTTGGGTTTGTACTAGTCCTCCTCCTCCTTCTTATCCTCGATCCCTCCCCCTCACTCCTCCTCCTCCCCCTCACTCATCCTACTCCTCCTTCTCCTCCTCCTCCTCCTCCTCCTCCTCGTCTTACTCCTCCTCCTCCACCTCCTCCTCCTCCTCCTGCTCCTCCTCCTCCTCCTCCTCCTCCTCCTCCTCCCCCTTGTCTTCCTCCTCCGTCCCGTCTCAGTCCCCACTGCCAGGCCTCGGCTCCCTGGACGTCGGCTGGGGCCACCATGCCGCCGTACACCTGGTTCTGATAAAGAAAGCAGAACAAGGGCACGAAGACGGGATCGATGAAGTTAACCACCGCGTAGCCCTGATTCGCCTTGGGATCGCAAATGTTGTGTGTCCGTTTTGTGTGCAATATCGGAACTTCGGTACGAGCCATGGCCCCGACCAAGACACTGAACACACCATATAGCCCACACTCCAAATCGAGTGGCCAAAACGCATCTCTGTATCCGTGTGGTACCGCGAGGCCTCGCAGCTCTTGTCAACGGCCCGAACTGGCAGAAAAAAAACGACACAGTGCACAAGCCGGTACAGGGAGAAGAAGCGAGCGAGGGGTAAGGGGAGGGGAGGCAGGCGACGGGAAGGAGGCAGGAGAGCCCAGAAGCGAATCGACGGGTCGGATCGGCGGTCGAATCGGAACCCGAACCGGAATCCAAAATCGAATCGAATCGGAATCGGAAACCATCGAAATCGAATCGAATCGAATCGGAGGAATCGAAACGAGCCCTGGGAGGGGAGGGGGGGAAAGCTGAAGGCTTCAGTCCACCTAGAAATCGACAAAAGGGTTGCGCACAAGACGTGCTTCTTGCAGCTGCTGAGAGCGGTGAGCTCGTACTTGGACAGATGGCCAAGAGCGCAAGGTTCAAGCTAGATCGGGAAGGGAGGTGGTGGCAAAACTATGCAGCGCAGACAGGGTGCCCGAAGATGGGAGGCTAGCAGAAACAGGCGCGCAAATCGATTAAGTGAATCCCATCTCCTCTCCTCCTCCTGCTCCTGCTCCTCCTCCTCCTCCTCCTCCTCCTCCTCCTCCTCCTCCTCCCCTTCCTCCTTACCTCGACCACCCCCGCCCCCCGCACCTCGCCTGGCTCTGCCCGTCGAAGGGCACGAACAGAAAGTCGTAGGTGCCCGCGAGGCCCCACCTGGTCGGAGGCCACACATAAATAGACACAAATAACCAAATCCCTAATATGTTGCCATATGTTCTGGGCTGTTGTCTTCCCCCCACCTCCCGTATTTCCCGATATTTTCTGGGGAATTGACGATTAATTGTGTCTGTGTGTTTTTCCTTCCTGGTGGACAAAAAGACGGCACGGATGCCTCGATCGGCAGCTCGCGCGCGGCGCTCACGCGGCGCTGCCGTCATGCGGAAGAACGAGGAGGGCGTGGAGGACAGGTCGGGGGCATGGGGAGGGGAGGGCACCCGAGAGGGGTGGCGGGGAGGAGACGGGGGGGGAGCCCCGAAGGTGCCCCTGTCACCAGCAGGGATACAATCGGCGGTGGACAAACCTCCTTTTAGTAAACCTCTCCTCAATGAAAACGGCCTGGGACCGAAACCGACGGACCTGGACCCGCAAAAATGACGGCCGTGACGCCCTCTCGCGAACCGAAAACGGCCAATTCATTGATCGACGCGTCAGGGTAGGAGGTCTATCAACCTCCGACGAAACGGCGGCGCCGATGCCTCGAGCGGCAGCTCGAGGCACGGCGCTCACGCGGCGCAGCCGTCATGCTGAAGAGCGAGAAGGGCGTGGAGGATAGGTCGGGGGCATGGGGAGGGGAGGGCACCTCCTCCTCCTCCTCCTCCTCCTCCTCCTCCTCCGTGCCCCTGTCACGAGCAAGGATACAAGCATGCAAAAGGATCAGCGGACTGCTGGCTGTGGAGGAGCGCGGCGGAAGTGACGGGCTCGCTCGCCAGGATGCTATTCGCACCGAACGGTCTAAGGGCGAGACTAGCGCAAAGCACTGCCGAGATTGTTCACTGTGTCGGCGCAGGGAAGATTCACGCTGGAGTAACCCCCTGCCCTGGACAAAAAAAGTACCACCCCCATCAACCCCGCCATGTGTCAATGGGACTTGATTGTGGAGAGGGGCGGCGAGGCCGAACTTGATCATCCCTGGGGGAAGTTGCGAATCGAAGTTGCTATCATCTCAAGTTGACTAGCATCATCCTCTAAAACGATGAGCATGGCAATGGTGGTCTCACCATTTCAGCTTTCGCAATCACGAGCGTCTGGCAGGGCTATGGGATTCTCACCATTGCAGTTGTCCCAAGTCACGAACGTGCGGCAGGGCCATGGAATTCTCACTTTCTCAGCCGTTCCCGAGTCAGGAACATGTGGCAGGGACATGGGGACCGATTGGACTTTGAAAATACTTGCCTTGTCGTCTTCATCCTCTCCCTTCTCCCCCTCCTCCCCTTGTCCCCCCCCCCGCAGGTCCCGAACTTGTTTATCCCGGGCTTGTTTCTATCCCCGGAAGGTGCCCACCATGGACTGCCCTACATGCGAGACTGCAAACGACTCAAGAGAATAATGTTTTACACATTTCCCGAATCCAAGAATTTTCTGAAAAGCAATCATGGGGCCATGATCCGCTCTCTTCCTTCTCCCACCCTTCTTCTTCCTTCCTTCAGTCGAATCTCGAGTCTACCCACACGAGCGCCCAGACTCGAGATCTGACGAACACGAGCGCCCGGGCGAGATCTGTCGAGTCAGTCTTGTGCCAAGATCTACAAGGTCAGTCTACACGAGCGCCCAGGATCATCATCACTATAACTATCAGTATCATCATCATCATCATCAGCAGCAGCATCATCGTCAGCATGAGCATCATCATCATCAACATCATCATCAGTATCATCATCATCATCCTCATCATCATCATCATCATCACCATCATCATCATCACCATCATGATCATCATGATCATCATCATCCTCATCCTCATCATCATCAGCATCAACATCATCGTCATCATCATCAACATCATCATCATCATCGGGTAAATCGTTGATTATCCCCGCCAAACCCCGAACTTTATCGGGGGCACCCGGTTATGTATGGAGGAATGAACTACCACGGTAAGTCAGCGAATGCATGTCTCTCTCAAGGCGGGCGCTGCTGCGCGTAGAATGGCATTCCACACGCCTCTATGAAAGCGACAAACATGTCTCAAAAGGTGTCAGAGCTAATGCACCAGCAGCGGAGACAACTACCCAGTGTCCGGAACACCACTCGCTGCCGTCGACTTATGTGCCCCGAGTTGCAGTTGCTGAACCTGGATGGCAGGAATACATAACTATTTGCACGCTGACCTTCTTGAGCAGGACGAGCATAGGAAACAACAACCGATGAATCCCAAATACTGAACTCACAAGATCCACCATCATGCCCTCTGAACGGTATGCGTAAAAAAACGAGACCCCCTGAATCGAGCCAATGTTGCTGCACAAGACAGCCCGATGAGGACCCTACGAACCGAACAGACAGCCGCACCAGCCTACAAAGCGCAAACGCAAACCTCAGGCTTCAAGATGTCTCCGAGATGCCCCAAGAATTCCCAGGAGGCCTCCAAAAATGCAAGCCCAGCGACATCCCGGCATGGTTGCTCGCCCCCGAGCCAGCCAACACGAATGCGATTAATTGATTTGCGTAAGACGGAACTCTTCGCTCCGAACTGAACAGGCGGAACGTGTTGCACCGTAACGTTGGAAATATGCAGGCGCGCAACCTTGAGCACTGTGATCGAGGCAGCAAGAAGATGCCGACCGAATCAGGGCCGTCTGGCCCAGCAGAGAACCGAGGAGAGAAGATGTGTGTATCTGCCGAAGCAGCTGATGCTGTGATGTCTGCCCGAGCGAGCAGTGTGCAGTCGGCCTTCTCTAGAAACATCTGCCCATACAGTGCCATTTATTAATACATGCTCCGCGTGCGGACCATGTATTAAAAATTAAAGGATGTAGTGCTAAAAACAACGATGGGTACATGCATCAATGTATTCATAAATTAATCATGTATTACAAAACCTATATATTGTTTTAAAACCCTGTGTATTAAAAACTGCCCTGCACATGGCCCAAGAGAGACAGCATGACTGTCGAGCTCAGAATGCTTCGAGATCCCACGCCCTCGGCGTGCCGGCTCCTCTTGCACTGACCTCCTTCCCGAAGCCTCCCCGAGAGTCCACCCCTTGGGACCTGGGCGGGCCTCTGGGGATCCACGGGTGCTTCGGGAGAGGGCCCTGGAGGCCTCTTTGGCGGCGCGCACGAGGGGGTGGAGGGAGGGGAAGGGCTTCTTGGAAGGAGGCTGCTTCTTAGAAGGCGGCAGCCCTGCATCTACAGATAAGGCCCACGCCCTCTAAGAACAGGGGTGCTTCTAAGAAGCCCTCCCCCCTCCCCCCCCACCCCCCTCTGCGCGTGGCTGGCCTCTGGAGGCGTCGTGGGAGCGCCTGGAGACACTGGAGGCTCCCAGGAACGTCTGCAATCCCTCCCGGGTGGGAGGGAGGGAGGCTGCTGGGGAGCTGCCGATCACAGCACGCGGAGGACACCCAGGCTCCACCGCGAGTGGGAAACGGAGCGACCTGAACAACAAGCAGGCGCAAAGATGCACATGTCATGCCTGTCCCAAGCCTCGAGGCCTGCCATTGTCTGAGCCCTGGCCCACGTGTCCAGCAGCCTCGCCAGGCTCTCCGTGGTGTGCTCCGGCGTCACGCCAGTCGCTGTGTAGGTGGTGAGGCCCCCGTCGGTCTGAACCTGCAGCCGGCTGTGGGAGATTGGAAAGTCGGCCGGGGCACCACCCCTCGCGACAGGACGACTAAAGCAAAAGCTGTAATGCTTGCATTGTGTCTGCTTCATGTATGCATCGCCAGTTGGGGCTCTACTTGTCGAGCCCTGAATAGGGACATCAAGCAACCACGGGATAGCTGCGAGGCTGAGGCGATTGCGAATATGCTTCTTTTCGCATCTGAGGGAACCCCCCCGCTGCCCGAAACGCAAAAGCGATCTGCGAGCGATGTGAGAAGTATCGTTCCAACTGGCGCACATTACCGCATGCAGTTGGGAGAGACATTGACATACTTGTCTGGATCCGCCACAATGCACGCACGATGAGGGCGTGTTAGAGTGCCAGGTTCTGCTCTGCAGGATGCTTATACTCTAAAGAGGGGCCCTCCCCTTACGTTGCACGCATACCCCCTGCTTCCGAGGCCACGATCCCTCGTAGAACATGTAAGCCAGCGCGGACCCCAAACAGTGTGTCTCTTCCAATATACGGTGTGCAATCTATGCTGTACAATCAATGGTGTGCAATGTATAAGGTGCCATCGACGGGGTACAACCTATGATCTACATAATGTCTGAAGCAGCCTATGCGGTTCCTTCTCCTCCTCCTCCTTCTGCTCCTCCTCCTCCTCCTCCTCCTCCTCCTCCTCCTCCTCCTCCTCCTCCCCCTCCTCATCCTTGCTCTGCTAGACATCAAACTCAGACACGCGACATTAGGTTCGTTCATTCCTCATCCCCCTCATCCGCGTCAGCATCATCCCAATAACCATCCACCATCACAATCAGCATCATCAGCATCATCACGACCATCATCATCATCATCATCATCATCATCATCATCATCATCATCATCATCATCATCATCATCCTCATCGTCATCATCATCATCAGCATCAGCAGCATCATCATAATCACCACCAACATCATCATCATCATCATCAGCATCATCATCATCATCCTCATCATCATCATCATCATCATCATCATCATCAGCATCGTCATCATCATAATTAGCACCATCATCAGCATCATCAGCATCATCAGTAGGATCATCACCATAAGCATCATCAGCATCATCAGCAGCAGCATCAGCATCATTATCATCAGCATCATCAGCAGCAGCATCACCATTATCAGCCACATCATTGTCACCATCATCATCAGCATCATCAGCATCATCATCAGCAGCAGCAGCATCCTCATCATCATCCTCATCCTCATCCTCATCCTCATCCTCATCATCATCATCATCATCATCATCATCATCATCATCATCATCATCATCCTGATCCTCACCCTCATCGTCAGCATCATCATCATCATCATGATCCTCATCATCATCTTCATCTTCATCATTCTCATCATCATCATCATCATCATCAGTAGCAACAGCAGCAACAACACAGCAGTTTGAGACAGTTCGCTCTTACCTGCCCGCGTGCCACTCAACACGCACATCCCCAGCCCTCGGTAGCCACCCTCTTCGTCTTCGATCGCATCCTCCTAGGGGCAGATCTTCCTTCCCTGCCGCGTGCATGTTTCATGCGGCCCCTGAAACTGGGGAAGCGAAGACGGGTGGAAGGGGGATGGAAAAGCATGGAGCAAGGGATTAGCAGGAGGGGGGCTAGGATTAAGTCGGGCCTGTCCCCCTACAGGGGGATTCCCGACGAAAAATATCTAACATAATAAAAATAATCAAAAAAATGCAAAAATAGTCTAGGGACTATGTTTTGAGCATTTTTGTTACCCTTTTGGAGTAGTTTGGGGGTACTTTTAATTTTTCGTCGAACATCCCCCTGTAAGGGGGACACGCCCGACATGAGGCTAGGAGCAGAAACCACGTGGCAGGAACCGAGCGGGCCCCGCGGGCGGGTATAGCCCCTACCACGGGCGGGCAGGGCAGGCGGGCCCGGACGGGCCAGGTCGAGAAGATGCGCGCGCCGAAGCACGCGTCCTGCACGAATCTCGCGGGGAAGGCTCGAGCGATAGCGGCGGTTCCAAGGCAAATTGCGAGAAAGGCCGATGCGAGAGCGTAATTCCTGAGCGTCGAGGGAGCGGCGTCTGAAAAAATCGGGAGCACATCCCGCGCGAAAACGCGCTTCCTGCATCAACTGTCCGGACGCCCCGCGCGAAGAAAACATCTTAGGATGAATTGTGCGGAGGTATCGGGCTGGAGCCGTTGTGGCTGTAATTCGGGGGCCAGGGGTTAAGTTTGGTGAAACCTCTCTCTTTTATAAAACATAGGGTGCGAGCCCCGAGGGAGGCACTCCAATTGAACAACACAATGGTTTCCTGAGGGGGATCAACAATAGAACTCTTTGGACACGAACATTCAACAACAGCAACAGCAACTACAACAACAATCATTGTACAACAGTTCCCTCATATCTTCTCACGGGGCCATTCAACACGTATGTCCCCAACCCTCGATACCCGCCCTCGTCTTCGATCGTACCCGCTTAGGGGTATATCTTTCTTACCTTGAATGTGTATTTCGTGCAGCCCTCAAGGCAGGAGAAGAGAGGATGGATGGAAGGAAGGGACACGGACGAGGGAGAAGGATGGAGCACGAGAGAGAGTAGCAGGAGGGGGGCTCAGGAGGGGGGCTAGGAGCACAAAGCAAATCACGTGGCAGAACCAGACGGGCACATCGGGCGAGTAGACCCTGAAGAGCGGGTCGGGAAGGCTGGCCCAGGCGGCCAGATCGAACAGGCGGGTTGCTGAAACGAGCGCCCTGCATGAATCGCAAGAAAGTCTCGAACGATAGCGCGATTCCCAGATAACTCGTTAGGAAATCCACAGCGAGAGCGTGATTGTTGAGTGTCGAGGGCGCGGCGCCTCAATAAACTGGAGAGAGGTCCCACGCGAGAGCGCGTTTCCTGTACAATGTGTGAGGAAATCCCCCGGGAGAGCGCGATTTGGGAATTTCAGTGTGAGGAAATAGCAGGCGGGAGCCGTTGTTGTTGTAACTCGGGGGCCAGGGGCAAAAACAGGGTGCGAGCCACAAGAGAAACACTTTTGTTGAACAACAAGGGTAACGGTTACCAGACAGGGGGAACAACAATAATTACCGAGAAATGAAAATCCAACACCACCACCACCACAACCACCACCACAAGAGGCAACAATAACAACAAATACCGCCACCACAACAACAAGAACAACAACAACATGAACGAACAGTGTCGTCAGCAGCATAATCATCATCATCATCATCATCATCATCATCATCATCATCATCACCACCATCATCATCATCATCATCATCAACAGCATCAGCATCATCATCATTACCACCACCACCATCATCATCATCATCATCATCAGCATCATCATCATCGTCATCATTATCAGCATCATCAGCATCATCAGCAGCATCAGCATCAGACTCAGCATCGGTACCATCATGCCAGCATCCTCATCAGCATCAGCATCATCAGCACCATCAGCATAACCATCATCATCATAACACTTGTTACGATCAGCATCGTCATGAATGTCCCCAGTATAATCAGCATCATCATCAGCATCATCAGCGTCGTCATCATCACAATCAGCATCAACAGTAGCATCAGCAGAAGCAGCATCAGCAGCCGCATCAACATTATCAGCATCATCATCATCATCAGCATCATCATCATCATCATCATCATCATCATCATCGTCAGCAGCAGCAGCAGCATCAGTATCATCATCGTCCTCAGCATCATCATCATCGTCATCGCCATTAGCATCATCATCATAATCGTTATCAGCATCAGCATCAGCATCCTCAACATCATCGTCATCATCAGAAGCAGCGTATGTATCATCGTCATCATCATCAGCAGTATCAGAATCAGCAACAGCAGCAACAGCATAATCAGTATCATCACCAGCAGCACCACCATCAACAGCATCAGATACAGCAGCATCATCACCAGCATCATCATAATCGTCAACACGACCTCCTCCAAATCATCATCATCATCATCATCATCATCATCATCATCATCAGCATCATCATCATCATCATCATCATCATCATCATCATCATCATCATCATCATCATCACCGTCATCATCTTCATCATCGTCATCAACACCATCATCATCATCATCACGATCAGCAACATCATCAGCAGCAGCAGTATCATCAACATCCGCATCATCATCGTCATCATCATCAGTAGCGTCATGAGCAGCAATATCAGCAGCCTGATCACCAACATCATCATCACCATCATCATCTTCATCATCGTCATCAACAGCAACAGCAGCAGCCCTCATCAAAATCATCATCATCAGCAGCATCATCAGCATCATCAAAGGCATCATCTTCATCAACATCATCATCAGCATCATCATCCGCGACTTCCTCCGCATCATCAGCATCAGCATCAGCAGCATCAGCAGCATCCTCATCATCATGATCATCAGCAGAAGCAGCCTGACTTGCATCATCAGCATCGTCGTCGTGGTAGTCGCCATCGTCAACATCATCATCAGCATCATCATGATCATCAGCATCATCAGCATCATCATGATCATCATCATCGTCATCATGAACGCCATCATCAGCAGCAGCGTCTTCATCATCGCAGTCGGCGTCATCTTGATCAGCATCATGGTACGCATAACCAGCATCATCGTTACCAGCATCATCACCATCTTCATCATCACCCGTATCATAACCATCATCATCACCACCAGCATCATCATCATCAACACGCAAGCCTAAAGACACGAGGTGTCACACGTGACAGCCCCAGGTTCCTCCTCGAACCATTGCCACCCATAATGCTGGGCTGGCACGGTGGCGGGACTTGCCGCATGCAGCTGGAAAACAAAAGCCACTCCTCCTTCCTCTCCTTCTCCCCATTCCTCTCCCCCTTCCCTTTGATTCTCCTCCTCTTTCTCCTCCTCCTCCCCCACCTCCTCCTCCTCCTCCTCCTCCTCCTCCTCCTCCTCATCCTCCTCCTCCTCCATCACCGCACATCACCATTCCCCCCCAAAAACTACCCCGTATCCACTGTGTCCTGCTTAGCTCGCTCGCGTGAGCCTCCGGAAGGTCTCGCTGCTTCTTCCGCTTCTGCCGCCGGGGGAGGGCATCCTCCGGGCCGCGCGGCGCGGGGGAGAAGACAGCGACGGAGAGAGCGAGAGATGAGAGCATGGGGGGGCCAGGAAGGGAGGGGTCCGCGCATCGTTGCCCGAGGCATCGTGTGCGGACGAGAGAGGTCCAAGGAACGCATTGAAGGAGGGAGAATGAGAAGAAGAAGAAGAAGAAGAGGGCATGTTACGAGAAGGAAGGGGAGGAAGAAGAAGAAGAAGAAGTTGAAATAAGAAAAAGCAATAATAATAAGGAGAATATTAATAACTATAATAAGAAGGATAATTAGTGGAGATCGTACGGCACCAGCCATGGCATCCACGCACACACACACACACAGACACACACACACACACGCACACACACAGACAAACAAACAAACACACACACACACACGCAACGAGCCTCTGTGATATGACTAGTATCAATGATCACGGTTCTACTCTCCGCGCTGCGGGCGAGTCTTCGCTCTAAGGCCAAAGGCCCTGGAACGTATTGAGCATGCACGGTGGCGGAAGCACAGGGCGAGGGCAGCACATGCAGGGGCAGGGCAGGAGCGAGTTCTCGGGCCTCGGTAGGGCTCGACGGGGCCTCCAGGACACCCTCGGGACCCGCGGGAGCGAGCTTGATTCCCACTTCTCCTGGTCGCCGTCTTTCGGGCCGGGCGAAAGGGGGGGATAGCAAAGGGGTGGTTCGAGAATCAGCTCACGCAGCTGATTTTCCCGTCGCCTCCTGGCGCCGGAGGCGGCTATGTATCGAGGAATGGGCCCCTCGGTGGGGCCGAAACCAGCTGCATGCAGCAGATTTCGTAACCCCCCTTGCCCAATCCCCCCCCTTTCGTCCGGCCCGAGTCTTAGGCGCCCATGGCGGCAACCATCTGTCAAGTCACTCGCGGCTGCTATGATCACCCTGGGCGGCGGGAGCGCCGGGATCGGCACGGCACCTCCATCGCGGCGGCGGGCGAGCTAACGGTCTGTTCGGCATGTTACGCAAAGTGCCCTCCTGGCGACGCACCGGGCTGGCCATCGCTCGGGCGTCCATTCCCTGTGCTTTTTGTCGGGTTCGGGCGTGGTTTTCTCGCCAGATGGTCAAGGATGCTCCTCGATGGTCCTCGCCGAAAAAAAAAACGCACACGTCCGAGCGATGCCAAGCCGGGTGCTTCTCCACGCACCTGAAAGAATGTATCCGGTCGGAAGACCCAAGCATGTGCAATTGTGAACGGTGAGCGCAGCGGTGGTGCGGATCTTTTTCTGCGGAGCTCCCTATGAGGCCCAAAACGGGTGGGGGATGTGCCGAAACGTGCGCGGTGGTGCCATGCGGTCGCTGCCACTGGGGCCTGCGGTGCAGCCCCCATATGGGGCCGCGAACCGTGTGAGGGGTGTGCCGAAACGTGCGCGGTGGTGCCATGCGGGCGCTGCCCTCTGTGGCCTTAGGTGGAGCTCCCTATGGGGCACGAAATGTGTGAAGGGTGCGCCAGAAAGGGCGCGGTGGTACCATGCGGGCGCTGCCACTGGGGCCTTCGGTGGAGCTCCGTATGGAGCCCGAACCGCGTGAGGGGTGTGCCGAAACGGGTGCGGTGGTGCCATGTGGGCGCTGCCACTGGGGCTTCCGGTGGAGCTCCGCAACGAAACCCGTGAAGGGTGTGCCGAAACGTGCGCGGTGGTGCTGTGCGGGCGCTGCCACTGGGGTCTTCGCTGGAGCTCCCCATGGGGCCCCGCAGTGTACGAGGAGAGTGCGGAAACGGGCGGGAGGAGGGAGAAGAGGAGGAGGAGGAGGAGGAGGAGGGGGAGGGGAAGAGGAGAAAGGAACGCGGGGCACTGTCTCATCAAAAGGAGGACCCAACACCACAGGATAATTGGGATAACAATAAATCCGACAGCTTCTGGGTCCAAGGATTCTCATTACGCTGTACTAAGCCAATACAAAAAGGAAGCCGCGGTAGCGGTGCAGAAACAACTAATAAGTTTTGTCACCCTACGCAGACAAGCGCGCGCAACAATCAAAACAATTTATGCTTCATGCGAGTTATCACTCACTGGCTGCAGGCTACAGCAAGCTGGATAGCGGTGCTCTTCTCTCCAATACGGATTTACACTGACTGGCTGCAGGCTGCAGCGATCAAAATGGCGGCGTGCTTCTCTCCGATGTGGAACTACGCGATCTTATCCTAGCACATGTGCCCTTGGAACCTGGGCTGTCCACGCGCACCACAAAGCTCCACCTGGACTGGAGGTTGTGTTTGATGCTGTGATGGAGCCTCGACAAGTCTGGCTGGCGCACTGGATGATTGCGGCCTCTGGCAGTCTGACAGGTCACACACACACATACACACACGCTGTGCGGGCTGTGTCCTACGCCCGGCAGCTGTACGCGCATTGATATCCCTTGGCGAAACCGTCGGCGTCGAGTTGTTCCGAGACACGACACTTGCGGATGAAGAGCTCGAAACTGTCATCGGCGATGTGGGTGGCGAGCCGCAGGAGAGCCCATAGCCCATCAGGGGCGTTCCCAGCGCGGCTAAGGCTCCAGCAATAGACGAGGCAACAGCAAATTCAAAGCTCTGCGCGGCAGCGGGGGTCTCCTGGTCCGACATGGTCATATCCCCGTCGGCGTCCCCGAGTGGGCGGCGGGCGCTCGGTGCGGCGCCGGCCCAGGCGGCGGCCGTCCCAAGCAGGATGCTGCTCGCCGGCATCCTCGACCTGGGATTCGCTCGGCAGCGCGGTGCCTTTTGTGTCGTTCTGGTGCGCGACGAACCACTGAGCGGCGAAAAAACTGAAACCCATGGCCATGTTGCAAGTATCCAAGTATCCCTGACGTCGACGAGCGCGCCAACGACCATACTCCAGCTAGGCTCCCGCGTCAGGTGGAGCTCGCTGTTCGGGCGAACGGACTCTTTGTAAATCCGCCGACCCCTTGTGGGTCTCCAGGCGCGCGGGATAATTCCCCCCCCCCGCACCCCCCCCCAGGGGGGCCCAAACCGGAGATTCGACCCCCCCCCGGCCCGGGACGACCCCGGACCGAGCGCGCCATGGAGGGGCACAGGGCCCCAAAACAGACCAAGACGGCCCAAGAGAACCCACAGATCGCCCAAGACGCCCAAGACGGCCACAAGACGCTGAAGATGGTTCCAAAACGGCCTTGCAGGCCGCCAAATGAACCCAAGAGGCCGCCAAGAGGCCTCGGCTTCCCAAGAGGGCCCCAAGAGGCGACAATTATTTATTGTCTTGTGTTTTTTGGGGGAAGTTTTTGGGGTTTTCGACCTCGCGGCCTTCCGCTGCTCCAAGACCGCCGTAGACGACCCCAGAACACCTCAGAGATGGCCCAAAAAGCCCCCAAGACGGCCCAAGAGGGCCCCCGAACGGCCCAAGAGGCTTTGAAAACGGCCCAAGAAGCTGTCGAGACGTGGCCCAAAGAGGCACAAGATGACGGGAACCAGGAGCTGACAAATCTGGCCTTCCGCCCCAAGACGCGCCCAGAAGGCCCCCAGAGGGTCCAAAGAGGCACCCGAAGGCCTCCAAAAAGCCCAAGATGCGCCAAAAGGCCCCCGAAAGGCTTAAAAGAACCGCCACGAGGCCAAAACACGCCCCCAAGACGCCTCGAAACTGCCTACCAGAGGCCCCCGAGAAGCCAACCACGAGACCCCCACCAATATACATGAAGTTTCTGACCAGCCACACAGGAGCGGTGGCGGGACAGGCCGGGGGCCACTAGATTGCAGACCTGGGGGATGCAATGCTGTATAAGGCACAAGGCTCGTCCACAGAGCCCTCTGCACTCTGGGCCCTCCAAACAATTAGGAAGGGGGAGTGCAAGCCCCTCCTCCTCCTCCTCTTCTTCCTCCTCCTCCTCCTCCTCCTCCTCCTCCGCCTCCTCCGTTTCCTCCGTTGACCCCCCTCCGTGTTCCTCCATCCTCCTTGCGCTGCTCCGCCTCACCCCCACCCCCCCTGTCGCCCTTTTCCGCTTTCGTTTTCCGCGCCCCCCCCTCTCGACCTAACTCCCGCGGGCCCTACATCCAGGGACCATGACGCAGACCCCCGCGCGAATATTATTCGCATGCTTTGCATTTCAGGATGCACTTCTTTTCGTCGCGCGCGACATGGCAACTGTCCACGGCGAAGGCCGATTTCGACAATTTCTGCCGACACTTGCCTCTGCACCGGTACCCTTGCCAACTGCGCGCCGCGAAACCATCGGCAATGCAACCCACCCATGCAGCTTTACTATTCCTCGTAATATGCCCACTCTCTTGTTCGGCGCTGATGCGCCGCTGCTGGGCGAACTCCTCCCCGCGCGCTGCGCGCGTCAGCAGTCGCTTCAACCGCTTCGACTCATCGGACGATCCCTTCGCGGCCCTGCCGCCTTGCCAGAGTCCTCGCACACCACTCTGGATCCAATTTCCGGTGACCCCCCACCCGGTAGCGACCCAAATGGCCTGCGTTCCAAAAAATCACTCCGCATCCTAGCGCGCAGCGCGTCAAGGGCTCCGCTTCTGCCTCTACCCTTCGCTCCCTATCGTTCGACTCGCGCGTCGACTTCCCACGTTCCTCCGCGCAAGTCCTACGCAGCCTCATCCCTGCTGCATTGTGCTTCCCCCGTGCGTCCGACACTCCCCCCTGCCCATCAAACAGCGCCAGGCACGTCTCACTCGAACATCGCACTGTTAATGCGCTCTCCTTCCACTTCGCGCTGCCCGCTTGCGACTGCTGTTTCGCTTCGACATTGTTGCACTTTGCACGGCACAACGCCCTAATCGTCTTCGCGCCCGCATCGTCACCACTTCCCCCCCGCCCCCATCGCCGCCCCCCCGCGCGCGTCCGTCGCCCTGCGCTTTCGCGGCCCATGCGTCGCACGTTTTGCGCTATTCTCTTTCTGGCTCCTCACGTCCGCAGTGCAATCTGCGCAGGAGGCCGGCCTCCCCCCCGCTGGAACTCGGGCTTTGCGAACGCTTCGACCAGCCGCCTACGCCGGCACCGCTGGCACTGGTCTCGCGGCACGAGCTTCGC